TTAGCCTAGGGCTATTTGGTTACTAAACAATTGACTTCCAAGATATTTTTGTTGATCTTTTTTATTTCTATGAACAAAGTAGTCCTTGATTTTCACTATTTTTTTTAATTTTATTTTTAGGCTGTACTGGGAATTGAGTCCAGGCCTTAGTGCAGGGTAGGCAAGCGCTTTAACACTGAGCTAAATCCCCAGCCAATTTCTTCCCTTCCTTTCTCCCTCCCCCCCTTCCTTTGTAAATTTCAAGACAAGATGGTCTCTAAGTTGCCCATGCTGATCTGGAACTTGTGGTCCTCCTGCTTCAGTCTCTTGAGTAGCTAGGATTACAGGACAGCGCCACTCCACCAGGTTCCCCACTTTATATTTCTTTTTTTTTTTTTTAAAGAAAAATAATTTCCACAAATGCAGATACCTTACAAGAGAAAATGGAAGTCATGCCTGCTCATGTCCTGTGTAACCATTTTTAAGAAACCCATGGCCTCTGCATCAACCTGGAAGGCAGCACAACTGGGCATTGACTGCCAGTAACTCCTCCTTACATCTGCCTCCAAGCCTCACCCACTCAATTCCCCAGCTGATGACCATCTGAAACCCATACCCCAAGACTACCTGCTAGCTGCTACTTCCAGCCTTAGGCTCAGCTGTAATTTGTAGCCCTTTTTTTCTTACCTATTCCCTTGCTGTTTGGGCAAAGGTTGGAGGAAATTATCAGAGCAAAAGAAGGAGGAAAATGAAGGCCTTGAGATTATTACTGCTGCCAGGTAACTTTTTACATTTCAGGTAAATACCAGAAATCTCACGAATCCCAGCTGCTTTCTGTTGGTGAGGGGTAGGTTGAGGAAGAGGTTGAAAACTTCACCTTGTAGGAGGTAGGAAGGGAAAGAGCTTCCAATTCCTCCCACAAGGAATTATACTGCAAAGACCTGAGCTGTGAAACTCAGGGCCTCTTTTCTGGAATTTCTCCCTGTCTCCCCCCTGCCCCCACCATCCTGCTTTTTGTAGGCTATTCCCCTACAAAAAGAACCAAGTCAAAGCCATTTTTCTGTCTCCATTCTCTGAACTGACACAGATTCAGTTAACTGCTCATTGTGCTAGAAAACAGATTCACAGAGGTTAAATGACTTTGCCGAGGTGAATCATGGTGAATTCACTGTGTAGTGCTCCCAGGATGCCAATCTTTTTGCTTTCTCCATGCAAGAAAAAGTACTCATCATCACTAGTCATTAAAGAAATACAAATCAAAACTATGAACCACTTCACAGCTGCTAGGATAGCTAGAATAAGCTAGAATAGAAAACAAGTGTGGTAAGATAGTGGTGAAATTTTGGAATTCTCATACACTGCTGTGGGAAATAAAAATGATGTAGGCACTGGGGAAAGCAGTTTGGTGCTTCCATTAAAAGTTAATGAGTTACCACATGATCTCAATCCTAGTTATACAGCCAAGAAAATTGAAAGTGGATATTCAAACAAAAACTTGAATATTTATGGCAGCATTATTCATAAGGCCAAAAAACAGAACACAAATTCCCATCAACAGATGAGTGTTTAAACAAAATGTGGTATGTTAATACCATGAATTATTATTTTGGGCTGAGGATATAGCTCAATAGTACAGCACTTGCCTTGTGTGAGAGTGGTCCTGAATTTGATTCCCAGTTCCACACACAAATCACCATGAATTATTATTTAGCCATAACAGGGATAGATTTATGACACAACATGGATTAACCATGAAATAGTATAATATGTTAGAGACAGTAGACACAGCATATAGCATGATGGTATTCACATGAAATATTCATGTGAATATCCAATATTCAATGAAACAAACAATATTTGTTTTGTGTATAGGCAAACCTAAAAAGTGGTTTAGTAGTTGCCAGAAGCCAGGAGAGAAAGGAATGAGGAATGACTGATAATAGATATAGTCTTTCTTTTGGAGGTGATAAAAAATGATCTAAAATTGGTTGTAGTAATAGATGTAAAATTTTGTGAATATGTTAATAAACAATGATATGTCTACATTTTTCAAGGACAAATGATATGGTATGTGAATTATATATCAATAATAAAGATAAGATAATTAACACATAGATTTGTTAAAATTTAGGGAAAAGATTGATGGGAAATTTCACAATGTGGGTAAATCAATGTGAGAATTCTGTGGCTTATGGATTACTATTTACAGCAAAAGTATACAAAGTATATGTTTTGAATGCAACATATGGAACTGGAGTACAAAGCATCTACTATGATTATTCTTGCCCAAAATTGCACCTTGATTAAACCAAATCCATAGATTGAACTGCAAGATCTTCTGTTTATGAAGGAACATATTTTGCACAAGGATGCAAAATATTCTGTAGTGGAATGTAAGAAAGTGAATATTTACAGGACAAATAATAAACCAGTCTCTCATCATAGGCATGGCAAATAAGGGGGCTGTTATGTATTAAAAGAGGAATGGGAGATATTTGAATCAATACTATTTATAATACTTCTTTGGGTTCTAATAAGGTCAAATCAAATTTAAGAGGTATATTTATTTCAAACAGGGAAATTGGATGTTTGTGTTTCATGTACCATTGGACAATAATTGTAATTTTTGTCTGATTCAGTGAGAGTATTTTTTTTTCTAAAATCCATATGTATGTTATTGTTGGGTTGGTGGTGGTGGCTTGGCAGCGATTTGGTGGCGACTTAGTGGGGACTTGGTGGCGACTTAGAACAAAGCAGCCCGTGCAGGAAAGGAACAGCAATCAGTTGCCAACGGAAACGCCTAATGCCTGTCAATCATCAGGACCCCCTGGCCAATCCTGGAGTTCAGCCAACTCCCCTGACCAACTCCAACGAGACAAGGGACCTTAAAAACACCTTTTCCTGTCCCAAGCCCTTCCCTTCCTGCTGTAAGCCCCATAAAAGTCCAGTCTAGTCGAGCTTCCATGCGGTTTCTCCTCAGACCCTTCCCCTGTCCCCTCTGTGGGTCTGATCGAGTTCCGCCCGGGAGTGATATCTCAATAAAGCCTCGTTCAGCAGCCCTTTTAAATCTGCCTCCTTTGGTCGCTGCCCTGCCCTGCCTGATCTGACAGTTATAATAGACACTATGTATTGCATAGTCTTTTAGATTTCATACATGAAGGCATATAAAACTTGGAATATACTTTGAAACACACCAGTGAAAAATAGCAAATGAAACATAATTGGTTGAATATTCATTACTGTTGAAGCTTGGTGGGTACGTGGAATTTTCCATATGTTGTTTTATTGGCTTTGTTTTAAAGTATCTATGATAAAGAGTGAACAAGAACAGTTGAGAGTAATAATTTGAATACATTACTGAGAAATATGAATGAAAATAACAAAACTGAAAGAGTCAATTATTAGCGGGTCATGATGGAAGTCACCTGTAATTTCAGCTACTTATGAGGCTGAGGCAGGAGGATCAAAAGTTCAAGGTTAGCCTGAGCAATATAGCAAGACTCTCTCTCAAAAATAAAAAAGTAGGGCTGGGGGTGTTGATTGGGTATGTCTCCATGTAGGACTAGAGTCAGATAATTCTTTTCAAGAATTGTAAAATTGTTCAACACTTTTTGAGGAGTATGCTATTAATTTTTAATGATAACTCATACCAGAGTGTAAATATGTGGAAGGAAATTCTGAAAGAAGCACACTGTAGGGCTGGGGATATAGCTCCATTGGTTGAGTGCTTGCCTCGTATGCACAAGGCCCTGGGTTCAATCCCTAGAATTGCCCCCCCCCAAAAAAAAGAAAGAAAGAAAAAGAAGCACACTATAGTGTTAATAAGGTCATATCTGGGAATGATATGAACATTTAGGTTTTTGGCCAAATGTGACTTTCATTAATTCCTTCAACAAACATTTACTAAGCACCTACTGTGTGTGAGATATCTTTTTCATGCTGAAAGTAGAGCCATAAAAGAAACTAAAGAGTCACTACTCAAATGGGCTTCATGTTCCAGTAAGGGAGACTAAGAAAATAGTCAATAAGATACCAATAGAACCAATAAGATATCGACATCATGATGGATATACATGAGCTATATAGCAGACTAAGCAGGGAAAGGGGACCCTGAGGTGAGAGTGTGAAATTTGTACCTTCAAGTAAATTGTACATTGAAGGCCTGACTGAGAAGGCTACACTAGAGGAAAGACCTGAGGTAGGCGAAAAAGTTGGAGATCTGAGGAAGAAAGTTGCAATGACAGGCACTGCCTGTACTGCCTACTGATTTTCTCCTTTAAATTTATTATTGATAAATAGCAATGTTCTCCTGAAGAGATGCTGTTTGTTGTTATTGTTTGGCAGTAGAGATTGGCCAGGATAAGGTCAAAATTTCCACGAAGGTTCACACTATGAGGGCATGGCTTAAGGCCCTGGATACTCTGAACAAATTGAGGCTATAGCCACATGTAGTAAGTGTGTGTTTTTATAAAATGAATCTTTTTGGAATGCATGTATAAGCAGATCCTTCCATTAGCCTCTCACTTATGTAGCTTACTCCAGTGTTGTAAGCTGTTGCTACTGTGGTGTGTGTGTGTGTGTGTGTGTGTGTGTGTGTGTGAGTGTGTGTGAGTGTGGTGCTAGGGGTAAAACCTAGGGCCTCCTGAATGTTAGGGAAGTGTTCTACCACTGAGATGCCCCTTCAGCCCATCATTTACAGCTGCTGTAGTAACAGTACTGTACAAAACCCAAACTTGTTTGATACCTGGTGCCAGGATGGTAACTATTATTGGGATCAATAAGCTATGAGTGGGCGGGCATATCTGTATTTGTAGATGTAGGGTCAACAGGCTATTTATTTAATTGACTTTAGGGACAATGACTTAAGTGAGCAGAAAAGGCTGATCAGTGTCTTTGACCATAAACCTGAAGGCCTGGAGAATACAGCATGAAGTCACTAAGTGGTCACAATGGATTACATCACAATGAACTCCTTGCTATAAAACCCAGATCACCTTGGGACTGAGGTTATTTCTCCTGAGGGTCTGTAGTGGCAAGTAGGGTTCTGAGTGGTGGTGGTGGTTAAATAGTTAAAAAAAAAAACTGGGTTTTTTGAAAAATGCTGAATTTATACTTTGGAAAATTATTTTATATCTGTGGCTCAGGTATGCAATAATACTTGTTTTATTTTTCAGGTCATAGTACATTGTAAACACACCACACTGTGATTTACAGCTAGTGCTACCCGGCAGAAGTTTGGACTCACTTCAAGCGTATAGGAAAGTTGGATGCTGATTTCACAGCATCCTATAGGTATGTGATACAATTCTCAGTTGTATTTTTTTTCTTTTTTTAAAGAGAGAGTATTTATTTTTTAGTTCTCGGCGGACACAACATCTTTGTTTGCATGTGGTACTGAGAATCGAACCCAGGCCGCACGCATGCCAGGCAAGCGCGCTACCACTTGAGCCACATCCCCAGCCCTCTCAGTTGTATTTTTGATTGTTGTACCACTTCTATACAATAGGTTCCTCTTTAAAGGTAGGTCTCTCACTGGACTTTCTTTGTTGGTATAGGCATTGTGTCCATGTATACTCAATAGCTGTTAATTATTATTATGATGATGATTGTGAGAATCTTCTCTGTGCAATGGGAAAGATCAACTTAAGTTGGTAAGTTCCAACACTCCCAAACCAGCTTAAGCTCAAAGCCATTATTTAACTAGATATGAATTCCTTGATTTTTAGAAGCAAGACTTTCTGATGTGTCTTAATCCACTTTGTACTGCTTCCATGGAGGGTTGGTAGGAATAGTGTGTCCATTAGGCTTCAATCAGTACCTTAGCTTTGTTCTTTTCTAAAAAAACATTTTTAATATTTACTTCTTTTACTTGTACACAATATCTTTGTTTTATTTCTTTTTTTATGTGGTGCTGAGGATCGAACCCAGGGCCTCGCAAGTATTAGGCAAGTGCTCTACCACTGAGCCACAACCCCAGCCCCTTTAGCTTTGTTCTTAGTGCTCAACATAGAGCAAAGAAAGACAGGGTTATTTCAGTACCCTAAGACCTTTAAAGGCGATCACAGTAGCCTGATGAAGCCTTAGAGCTAGGAAAGAATTGAGGTGATCTTGTGTGTCCTATGAATTGCTGGTGAAAGGTCCTCTATCATCCTACATTGTACTCTCTGAAGGCTGATCTGAGACTTGTGAAATGTACTGTCTCTTCTAGGTAAGTAGTTTTACTTATACCTAACTGAAATAGCTATTGTGAGGGATCAAGCATGAACTCATTTGTCATGTCTTTAAGGGGAGAAACCTAGAGCTGTCCAATTCCTGTAACATATTCTCTTCTCCATAGCATACACAGAACAGGCTTAAAGTAATATTTAAAAGTGAGTAGCTTATTTATGATAATACCATTCTTTTGTAATTTTAATTGCAACATACACTTATTGTAGATGATTTTTGAAAGCTGATGATGAGGGAACTACCTTCAAATGTTTATATTGGTTTATACTTTCTTATGGATCACAAGGTTGACACACACTCTTGATGACTTGGGTTAGCTGGCCTAAGGTTCAGCCATTACTGACTGGCCTTTAGTACTTTACTTTGTGCCATGTCCTTATGATTCTGTTCTGTTAAAACCATTAGTGTAAGGTGAGGTAAGGGGCCAGGTGATAAGAGGGTGGTCAGCATCATAAAGCCATTATGACCTCATCAACTTGTCATCTCTGATATTGAGCCAATCATTTTACTTAGTTTCAGTTTCTTCAGCTAATAGGAGAGTCAAATAAATAAGTGTTTCTTAAAATATTATGACCAAGAAGCTGAAGAATGGTGTGGAAATTTTATTTTATAAAAGTACATGTTGACCTACACACAAAAATTCAAGAATTTTAAAGAAACCATTCTTAGTTTTCAATATCCAAACTCAAGTGGCTTGGTGTTTTAGTTTTACACATATGTGAGTCCAGTGTCATCTATTGTTCAAATCATTTCAGTTCCCTGCCTAAAACTCTTTAATGTTTTTTCTTTAAATTAGAATTTAAAATAACAATACACCACAGCCAACAATCAACAAGATCTGGTTATACTTCCATCATCACTCACTGTTTTCCTCCTGAGCTACTCTGCCCTAGCCACAAAGGTGTGTGTGTGTGTGTGTGTGTGTGTGTGTGTGTGTGTATGTATGTGTGTGTGTGTGTGTGTGTATATATATATATATATATATATATATATATAATATAAAATTTGGTACCCAGGGGCACTGAACTATTGAGTCACATCCCCAGACCTTTTTATATTTTATTTTGAGACAGGGCCTTGCTAAGTTGCTGAAGTTGATCTCACACTTGAAATCCTCCTGTCTCAACCTCTCAAGTATAGGGGTGTACACCTGTAATCCCACAACTCAGGGGGCTGAGGCAGGAAGATCACAAGTTTGAGGCCAACTTCAGTGATTTAGCAAGGTCCTGTTTTAAAACAAAAAGATTAAAGGGTTGGGGATATAGCTAGTGTTAGAGCAGCACCACTGGATTCAATACCCAGCACTGAAAAAAACAATTCTAGCCTGAAAAATGATAAATTTCCTAATATATATTTTTTCAATTTTCAAGAGAGTCTTGTGTCAACTAGCAAACGTTGAGAGAAGTATTAAACAAAAAGGAGTACAATTTTCAAAAGGTAAGGCTATTAGTATTAGATATATTTGGTTTTCAGATAATTTAATCTTATCACATATCCTTTCCTTTCTTTTTTAGAAGACCTTTTTAAAAATTTTTTGGTACCAAGGATTGAACCCAGGGGTACTTAATCACTCAGATACATCCACAACTCTTTTTATTTTTTTATTTTGAGAGAGGGTCCTGCCAAGTTGCTGAGGCTGGCTTTGAGCTTGTGATCCTCCTGCCTCAGATTCCCAAGTCACTGGGATTACAGGTGTGAAGCAACACACTTGGCAGTAGTTCTAAATTCTGATCTCAGTATCAGATCCCATGTATGGTAGTAAAGCCAGACAAACTTATATTGGAGGACACCATCTTTTCAGTGAACTAGCACACAAGGTCATTCACTGACCATGAATGCCCTGAGGTGGGTTTAAAATTTATACTAAGTAAGAGAGTACAGAAGACTTGGATCAGCTAATATGAAACATTTCTCAGGGACTTCAGTATTAATGAATAAAACAAGAGTATTTCAAATTTGAGTCCAAATATTTATTAACCAGTTTGCTTACCCACTCTTCCTTCAGACTTGGATTTGAAAGACTTATAATTTCTAAAGGTCAGATATATATTTAACTGAATCAATAGTGAAAGCACTTTGGGGAACATCAAATCATTTTATTGAGGGGTTTGTGGGTAGAGAGGATGGGGTTGAAGAGGACAAGGAGATCTGATGGCTTTGTCAGGGCCAGATCTCCCCTGACTCACCAACACTGAAAAGCTGGAAACACTTGTTGTTCCACATACTCAAAAGTCAATTTGAGACAAGGAGATGTATCAAGGAGAAACAGAAGGAACATCTTTGGGATTTGTGTGTAGACTTCTAGAATCAAAAGGTAACATTGACAACCAAGGGCAAGGAAGATGTTAACAATATTTCTCTTTAATTGAACTTAAATAGTGTTTGCTCTAAGTGTCATGGCTATAGACCTGAGAACTCATGAAATGAAAAATGTTCCATTTATTTCACCTATTATTTTGTCTAAAGTTTTCTGGAAACTACAC